CTGGGGGGAGGGGTGCATTTTGGTAATGAAGTACTCCTTGATTATTTTGCAGGCTTTGAACCTGAGTCCAGGCCAGTAATACCATCCTGTCTTGCTAAATTGCCCCAGCAGTTCTAAACACACGCAGTATCCTTCTTTACCTCCTATTTTAAAGCTACAGAGGCATGCTAACAAATCTATTTGATCAATATAGGGGATGAAAAAAAGAGAAGACAAGATTGACTGATGAATAAAATGAAGCTGACACAAATAGGCTGACAGCCAGTTGCAAGTCTCTTTAGGGCAAATGCAATTAACTTAGAATAATAGACTCAAATGTGATGGTTAGAAATGCATTTTTATTAACAATCACAGCCCGAATCATTATGCACTCTTATGAATAAAATTGTACTTATATTGAATATCTGTGTGTATACATGCATGTATGTATGTACAAAAAAAAATCTCACTGGAAGAGACCATTATTTATGAGTGCTAGAGAGAATAACAGGTTGGGGTTTAAAATAAAAAAGGAACATGCAGCTACAAACCTAAATATTCAAAACCATGACACAAAAATCAAGTGTACAGTACGCTGGTATTAAACATAAAGGCAATAAGCACCGGTCCCAGGACTGCTTGTTCTTTTGGGATGTGAAATTGCAATCGGGGATTTACAGATTTCATTTTGAAGAACAGAAGTCATTACTAGAAACATAAGCTCATTCTCTTTACTTTAATAGCTATTTTAAATCATTCATTTAAAAAATACATTAACTATTTATTGTATTGGCAATATGCTTCTATTGGCATTCAGTCTCCATGCTTTTAATATAATCCTTTATAAGAAATTATTTCATTAACAGAAGATTAGAATTAGCAAAACGATGCTCCCAATGTCTAATAATGGTAGTCCTTGAAAGGGATATTTCCCATTATTAACAGGTATGAGGCATTAAAAGTTTAAAGGGAAAAAAGATATTCAATTGCTAATGTCCTTTTTACTTTTGACCTTCATTGCTGAGACTGATTGCTATTTGTAATTTACTTTAAAAATGATTACATCTTATTTAATTTCTGGAGAAATATAATGCCCACTTTTTTGCAGACACCCCACAAAAACTAGATGGAAAAAAGTTGCTTTTAGGATACACGTACAGTGACAAAGTTCCCTTTTTGTTGGAAACACTACACACACAATTTGTTGCACAGAATCTCCCAGTGATGTGAACAAACAGTATAACATGAGTATGATAACACCATGATATAAAGGTACGCACAGCGCTCGGTGGTAAATCAGTGGACATATCATAACTGGACGACAAGGGCTACCAACAGACAACAAGCTTAATACTGAAAGCTTCTTTGGGTCAGTTGTTCTCCGTGCAGCGTGGATGGCAATTAAATCAACTGAAAGGAAGTAGCGTATTGTCTACTAACATGCAGCATGTTGAAGCCCTTGGATATGAATGAATGTCGTGCCGTTGGTCCTGGAAATTTAGGTGGGTGGGTATTTTGGGCTGGAGACAGGGCAGACCGTCTGCTATTCTGGGAAGATGGCTTAAACCTTCTTCACTCTCAGGAATAAAGCTAACGATGCAGTTATGCTGGGAACTGTAGTTATACTCTGGTGGCACCCTGCTGCTGGTAGAGGGGGGCATTCAGTTCTGCAAATCATTGGGCACTGGTGGGTTTAGAGACTGCCCTGTTGCATGTTTCTTCTGTATCCCAAGGGGCTAGAGCCCAGAGGTGGGATACTAGGCCAGATCTGATATGGTCTTTCAATTCATATTCATACCTTGCCATATCCTCACTGTGTCCGGCTCATTTCTGCAGTTAGAGAATGTCAGTAATGTGGCATGATGTGAAATTAAGCTTGATCGTGTTCGGTGATTTGGATAGTTAGGGGGTCCGCATAGGGGTTTGATTTGTAGACCCAGTGTAGGTAGAGCGGTCGAGTTTGCACAATCTGTGTGATTTGTCACGTAGCTCTTCAGTGTGTATCTGACAATCTTCCTTCTTGGCCGTGATATCAGAAGACAGCTGCGTTTTGTGATGACAGCATAATTACAGTTAACTAAGAGTTTAATTGATGAGAGGGACCTAAATCGCTTGTGCTGGGCTTGCAAATGTAAGTAAATGAAAGATCATGGGCCAGTTCCTTATCTGGATCCACGGGAGTCAATGTGCACATTTACAGCAGTGGGGTATCTGGCCTGGTGGACTTAATTCTCCTTTCACATCGCAGGTTGCACACCAGCGTGACTCCGCAGATCTCTATGCAATTAGTGGTGGTCTGCAGTGGTTTAAGCAAAACGAGAAGCAGGTCCAGCATGATGGTCAACTCATTCTGTACGGACGTCATTATCCCACCAGAACAGGAATGATTTATTGTGGCCAAAAAAGTTTCCAGGTCTGATCACACAAACCAGTAGATGTCTTTGATAAGCAAGCATTTCTCATGGTGTTTACAAGTCCTGTTTCCCTCATTCGCTTTAAAGCTCTCAAGCTCTTTCGGGTTCACCCTCTGGGGATCTGGGAATGTCAAATGTCGAATTTATTTTCCTTTCCCAGCTTGGATTTTTCCACGTTTCTGCAAACGAGGTGTTAGCTGAGCTATGATGAAGTTGGAAGAAAATAACTCAAAGCCATTTTCTGAGCCCCAGCTGGACACTGGGACATACACCTGGTTGTCCATGGTGTCAGGGCCACGCTGATGCGCAGGAACACCTGGGCTACGCCCCTGCTTCCATGTACAGGTGGCGTAGGAGTGCCCCCGCCCCACCCAAGATGGGAAATCCTCAGATTGGCCGACTGAATGATAGCAAGAAACAGCTTGTCAGATTTAGGCCAAGAACAGCAGAATCTTCCTGCCTGACGATTAAAAAAAAATAAAAATAAAAAAAGCTTTTATCCCATTTCTCCTGGTGAGATACAGGAAGCCATGGTTAATCCGCAGAGCGCCCAGGGCGTCTGCCAGTAGTCCGCCGTTCCCATTAGCTATACCAGCCTTCTTCTTATTAGCGAGTAATGTGTCTGGCTACGAAACAATACGCAGCCGGACTGCTCACGAAGGCCATTTTTTTTTTATTACTTGCTTCCGCTTACTTAAGGGCTGCCTCGCCGATCAGCTTCGCTGCGTCTGATTTAGCACCAGCCCTTAGGCTGACTTGCACGAGACATCACGTTGTGTTAGTGCCATCGGCACCGAATGGATAGGCCTGGATTCTGGATGTGAAGAACAATGCCAAAAAGCATCACAGATCATGGAGCTAGAAAGGATCTCCTGGGTCAACTCTCTGAAGCCCCTGCATGGAGCAAAATTTTCCAGTCGGCTATTCCCTTAGGTGTTTTCTCCAACCTCCTCTTAAACCCCTCTAACTGACAGCCCCTGAAACACTTCCTTAGGCAGATCATTCAGTCGACTAATGGTGTTTGCTCTGAAGACATTTGCCGACCATCCTAGCTATTTTTTTTTCCTCTTTCCTAAATAAGCATGAAGGCAGGTGCCCTGCTGAAGAAACGGAAAGTAACTGGATGTATTAAAAAAAACCCACCCCTCCGCTCTGTCAAGTCACCCGTGCTTAGACAGCAGCAATCGGATTGTTTGCAATGATTCAATGCAAACTGCCCCTCCTGTTCTTCTTTTGCAAAAGAAATATTAAAAGGCCCAATTTTTCTTTTTTAAACTGGAGTAACTCTTCAAAACGCTAAGGCATCCGACCGTAAGTTGCTAAGAGCTTGTAGATATTTTATTTGCATTCGACTGTGCCGATGGGACTAAGAACAAGGGATTGTATTACAGTAACTCTAATGAGAAATTCCTCTCAGGGGCTCAGTTACTGGCACCCAAAGACACCTCATACCTGATATTATAGCACAAAGCTACTTCTGAGAATCAAGTGCTGGATGTTGAATTCAGCCCCCCATGAGCTGAGCACAATTGTGCATACAGATGTTCCCTGTCCCAAAGATCTTGTGGTCAAAATAAACAGGGGAAGGATTATGGACTTACAGATGGGGAAAGATGCAGTTAGTGTCTTTAAGGTCACTCACAAAGTCGTAGCTAGAGTCAGGAATTGAGCACAACTCTTCTGAGTTTCAGACCAGCGCCTTGTCCTCAAGGCTACTTTTTCTTTAGCTTTTAAATAGTCTTGACAATTCGGATCGTCATTCCCTGTAGTTGCTACTGTTCTCATTCCACCGTGTTCCCTGCTCCATGCGAGAACGGAAGGTTTTTTCCCTTCTGGCTGGCTTCTCTCCTGCATAGAATATATCCTAAAAAATGGTGGAGCGCCGTTTCATAATCGCCAGGTGATGATCTTACCTTCCTAAAGCTTGGGGTAGTCATGCCTTCTCTGCAGTCCACAGTGAGAGTTCATTTCTGGTTCATTTCTGCATCTGCACCTATATTTTTGCCGCTAGACATTTGTATAATTTTCAGTGAAAATCCTAAAATTCAATGAGCGAGTGTGACTTTGTGATATTTCAGAGTCGGTTTACCTTAAAACAAGTT